CCCATCAGGACCCATGGATTTATGGGTATAAACCCTGAATCCATTATAATAGTTTAGAGTTATTCTTTTATAATTCATGAGGATATGTTATAACTTTCAATTACTGCATGTTATAGACAAGGCAGAAAATGGGTATGCTAAAAGAAAAATTATAATCACAGAAATTCATAGTTTCCCATGAGTTCTTTTAAAAAAGGAGCTGTACTGCAAAAGGTCAAAGTAGCCTTATGAGAATTTTAAGAGACCTAAAGCTACATTAACTCCTTTTCAAATAACAGAACATTTTCCTTTTGTAATCTAGAGTTTTTGCTATCACTTTTGACTTATTCAGCAAGGTTGATTCTGCCAGCCAATTGTTAATTTTTTAAATCTGCAAATTTGATGTTCTGCACAATTTCAGGTCAGATGACCTTTAGACCTAGCAAGAATATTTGCACCTGAACACCATATTAGCAGAGCAAAACAGTTGCTTAAAATGCATCTTGACTTTTATAGTATATGTAGAACAGATTTATATGACAGGTGCCTGTTTCTCTGTGGATATATCTGTGTTATGTATTAGTCTGCAAAAAATAAGGTTGTGGTCAGTAAAACAATTTTTAGCAGCAAGAGCAGATACTTTTTGCTTTGCCTTGAAGCTGAAATAGTTTTTGAAAACGTGTCAATGTTACCCTAATACTACTCCCTGGGGTTTTTTTTCCCCCTAATGAAGCTGAAGAAATTAATACAACAGGGAGCCATGGAGGTAGAGAAATTAAAAGATTCAAAAAGGTACCCTAATATCAAGAATTTTCACAGTTATGAACACCTTGTCCACTGAAAACACCGTTAAACTTTATGGTCAGCTACAAGCCAGTCTGTAGTTATTATGGAGACAAACTGTCAGAGAGGTTAAGGTTTTGCGGTATTAACATGAGAGCAAAGTAGTCTCTTCAGGTGGCTTTGGTTGGGATATGTGCATGTATTTGTGGCTAGAAATTGCATTGAGTGGCATTATGTTGGAATGCAAAGTATTATCTAGGTTTTTGAGTTTCACTATTAAATGAAGTGTTCTTCTGTTTCTCTACTGTTATTCCTACATTGCTTCTTAATTAAGTATTTGATCTAGTTGCATTTTTTTCTAGTTTTCCTTAATGGCCTCCTTTCCAGACGTACCTTTTGGAATTTTCCTGTTCAGTGTCTGTGCTGTTGTCATTGGCTTTATACAGGTATTGGCATTATCCTTTTACATTTTCACTGTCACATAGATTTTTTTTTTGATAGAACTAAAATTACATTTCTTAGCTAAGGTTATAAATTGCTAAATGTCTTTTTTGTTTGTATGGCATTCTTTTTCAAAGTTGTGCCTGTGATAATATAGTGTCTGTATATAAGATGAAAGTTTGCATTGCCACTGTCTTTTGAAGATGATTTATGCAACTAAATGATTTATACATGCAGTGTATCGTGAAATCTCAGAGTTTCTAAGACCAGCTCTCCATCTGGGAGTGAAAAATAAGGGTGAACATATTTTGGAATTTGTTGATTTGTAGTTTTACAGTTTTATACTCGAAATGCTGCGTATACTTTTGTATAGTAACTTCAGTAATGCTCTTCTCCTTGCAGGCTGTGATAGTATTGTATGCATTCTATCACCCACACTTACTGAATCAACAGATACAGGTGTCTGAAAATCAGAATTTCTATAAATGTCATATCTTAAAGATTATCCTAAGAGGACCAGTTTTATGCTGTTTAGCAGCCATCTTTTCTTTTTTCTTTATTCCTTTGGTAAGTTCTTCCAGTTAACTGAAAACTTTGATGCTGCAGTTAATATTTGTTGTATTTAGGACTGTCCGTGCTAAATATGCAGCCTTTCTCAGTTGCCAGTTTAGTAGTGTTGTAATCATGGCTGCTCTTTTGTATTGAAGCTGTTCAGTTCACGGAGACCAATCCGTAATTTGATATGTGAGTTTGGGTAGTTTTGAAAGAATATTCTGCTACAATATTTGCTTTACTTCCTCTGCCTGGTTTTTTTAAATGCTTCTCTTAGTTAGAACTAGGTCTTCTAAACCATAACTCAGCATCTTGTAACTCATCATAAGTAGGTGAGATAATGTGTACAGTTACATGAAATAAATGTCACATTGCACAAACTGAAGACAAGTGAATATAATTGCTGCATTAACTCGGTGAAAAAGCAAATAGATTAAGCAGACCAGTTAGCCAAACTGCATCTCAAAACAAATGTTTTTGGCTCAGGCCTGCTCTTACACAGCCTTTTTCTCTGCCATCTTTATTAAATGGCAGTGAGTTGCTCCTACTTATTAATACCTTTTTACCTTTCTCAGAACCCCTTCTTGGAACTGAAATCTAGTTTCTGTATGTATCTTGAGCTTCCTTTCCTCTGTCTTGTTCTTTAGGAAAAGGTGGATTTAACTGAATTTAAAGATTCCATGGGAATTAGCAATGTTTCAATAATCTCAAAATTTGTGAGGAATTAGGTTGCTGTTGACAGGGACAATTACAAGTCCAAACATGAAAAGGCTTAATTTTAACTGAAAATGTTTTCCCCTTACAACCTTCCTTCCCTCTTCTCCCTCGCCTTGTTCACTACTGTATTTTATTTTAATGTTAAAAACAGTCAAATTAGTCTCCGAGTTGCTTTTGTGCTTAGACTTGTGCAAAGCCTGTGAACCACTTATGACCCACTGAGGTGTCTTTGGGACACAAGTAGTAGAATCATGGAACCACAGAATATCTCAAGTTGGAAGGGACCCCTAAGGATCACATGGGATAGTTCTCCAAATTCCAAAGAAGCCATTACTGCATTTTTATTAGCAGAATTATTTAATTTCTTTTTTTAGTTTGCTTCATTAGTAGTTCTAAATTAGCTATCAAAAAGCTGTATTGGGTTGTACATGCAATATTCAGGTGGTGCCTGTGCATTTCAGGTGAGCCTTTTCCCACGTCACAACGTCAAGATTTGTTTTTCTCTGTGTGGTTATACCTAAAGATTGAGAGTAATAGTTTCATATTAAACTTGGAAGGTAATTTATATGTTGATAACTAAATTTAAACTGTGTTAATTTTTCCTCTCCATAGTCTTATGTACTTCTGGGGCTTGTAATCGTTTTTCCACATCTCACTCGATTCATTACATGGTGTAAAACCAAGATTGTTGGTGAGTAACAATATTTATAAGAGTGTGTTCAGATATGTTATGAAGTTGTCGACATATTAGCCAAACAGCCTGGAATGAAGTAATTTTAGTTGTCCTTCCATTTTCAGTCTTGGAACTTCGTCATTTTGGGGTTTATTGCCATGCTTCCAAACAGTTTCTCCCTCGCTCCCTGGTTTCCCTTAATTCATGACTAGATTTGTCTAAGGTACAACACATTCAAAGATCATTTCTGAACGCAAAACCTCTCTTGTTTGTCCTGAATATGCAGGTGCATGCAGACTCACAGAAGTCCATGAATAATGGCTGCAGGCCATCTGTCCCTTTTTCTTCCTAAAAAGAAACCATGAGGATTGAAGAGTATAGGAAGCAAGCTCTATGCCTGTATCACTTTCTTGCAGCAATAGTACCTGGTCTCACATTTTCAAACGGGCAAGCAGAGCACGTGTAAATCAAACTTTTTCAGGGTAATTAACTGTTCAGGGTGTTACATTTCCTTAATCTAGCTGCTGTAGTCTAAAGATGTGCCTTCACACACAGCTTAAGTCAGCCTAAATCCTTGCTTCCTTCCCTCATGCTCCTTGCTTATATTCTTTCCACCCCTACCTTGTGTCAGCACTAAGAGTTGCACAACCACACCAACAGCCACAGCTGCTGTTAAACTCCGCTGAGAAGGAGGCTGCCAGTGCCCAAATAAAGGGGAAGGTGGTATTGTGCAATGTACTCAGCCAAAAGGTGGAGTGTCCGTCTTCAAGAGCAATACAAACTGACCACAGAACAGATCATGTCTTTGGAATTGTCACTCCCACAGTGAGTGTGAAGAATAACACCTTTATCCTTCTGCTGCTGCTGTTTAGCCTAGTACAAGTATGTCTGTGTACACTGTGAATGTGAACGTACTTTTGACTGTCCTGTGTGGCAGAAATAATAGTCAAGGAGACAGAAATGTTTTGAAACAGCTAAAGCCAGACTCTCAGAGCCAGAGAATAAACACATAGAAATACTGCTTGTGCCTACTGCAACCAGGGCACTGGCATTTCCAGTCAGGTCATGTCTATGTATGTCTTGTCCCATGAGATGGCTGACATAAATTACTGCTCTATTGACTGAATTGTGATTACATTTGCTTTTTCATTCAGTTCCTCTCCTTCCTTCTTCTGGAAGCGGGAAGCTTTTTCTTCATTCAGTCTACACTCATGAAGTGGTGCAGCTTGGTTAGCTGGGCAGTTCAGAGTCCAGTCTTTAGAGATGTGCTTGACATTTCCTCTAAAAGCTCCAGAGCCCCACCTTTTGACCAAAGACTGGATTTATTTTAAAGCAGGCCATTTGATGTCCCAATGCAGCCTCCATACTCCAGTGAGTTTTTTCTTTCATGCACTGTCTTAGAGGACCTACAGCTACTAGGGCTTCCTGAGGCACAGCATCTGATTTGTTTAGATCGAATGTTTTGTTCAATTACAGCTTTGAGTCATTATTCACTTGGTGGAAATGGTCTGCCATACTGCTCTAAGGACAGGGCTTTTTTGTCCCTTAAGCACTTGTCATGAAAGCAACATGAACTTCAAAGAGAGGCATTGCTGCTGGAAAAAATGGAGTGACTGACCTGTGTGACCCTTTTTTCCACAGAAAGATTTTGGCAGGTGTGGAGAAAGGGAGGTCACAGTAGGTTGTTTAATTACCTTGTTTTGTACTACCTGTTTTTGTCTTTCATTAGTAAACATCTAGATTTGTTTCCAGGCCAGAGAGATGAAGAGGAGGTACACCATAGTTTAGAAACCTTCACTCTTTACCTCAGTGAGCCTCTGAGTAAGGAACGGGTAGAAGGATTTAGTGATGGGGTCTATGCTATTGTAGCAACCCTGCTCATTTTGGATATATGGTAAGGCTTTGTGTTGCCTCTTACACTTTATGTTGATAAATATAATGCTAACTTTTGTTTGTATGTAATATTTGCAGAAATAAAATTAACAAAACACTGTCCTAGACTTCTAAAACCTGCAGGGATTACTTTAAGTATGATTTTCTGGAAAGATAACACAAAAGATATTTCTAACACCCACATTTCAGCAGTAGTGATCATCAGTCTATTTAATGTATGTTGGGGTGGGGTGTCTTGAAGAACAAAGCTTCCTTTATGCTTAGTCATGTTTTTAGATAAAAGGCTTTTATCAACAAAAGCTGTTTAGTCACTGTGGCAACATTAACCTAAAGGAATGTCAGCTTACTTTCAGATTTCCTTTCAGATCTGATTTATTTGCAGAGCTGTTATTTGAAATGCTGTTTTCAAGTTACTAATTGGAGAACTACAGAGTGGATGTTTGTCGTTTCTTACTTGGTCAGAGTAAAGCAACATAGTTCAGTGTTGCTCCAGGTGTGTTTTTGTAGCATTAACATGCAAAGTAAAGGAAGTTTTCTCTCCACAGTGAAGACAACGTCCCTGATCCCAGAGAAGTTGAGAAGTTCAACATCAGCCTTCTTGAAGCTTTAAGTGAATATGGGCCAAACTACCTTGCCTACTTTGGCTCATTTGTAACAATTGGTCTCCTGTGGTTTGTTCATCACTCACTTTTCCTTTATGTAACAAAAGCTACACGATTAATGGGACTGCTTAACATACTTTCATTGGCTTTCATTGGTGGGCTTCCTCTAGCTTACCAGCTGACCAGTGAATTTGCAGAGAAGTCTCACAATGAAATAGAAGCCATTCAGGTCAGCTGTGTTATCACTTTCTTTGCCAGCATATTTCAGTTTGCAATATGGACCACAGCCCTCCTCCATGAAAGGGAAACTTTGCATCCTTTTGCTAGATATGGTGGCAAGGAGCATGCCTTCATGTTTGCCAAGCTGTCTCTCTACCCTTGTGTAAGCCTTGGGGCCTTCTTTCTAACGTGCTTATTAAGTGAATTTAGCACAGCAATTTTCCACCTTATGCAGATTGTAATCCCATTTGCTTTTCTTGCCTTGCGCATTTTTGTTAGAATTTCTTTAACTGTTGTAAAGTCTGTGATGTCTCTCTCCAGGCGGAAGGTTGTGTTGTTAGAAGAAGAGGAGGCATGTTTGTCTCCTACTGAAGCACTGTCCTAAATTTCCATTGCAGTGCATGTGAAATTACATTTAACTTCAGTTCTTCTAATTCACATTATCTTCATGTGTGGATTATACTGACCTAAACCAGAGCCTGTGTTGTCCATAACTGGGGCATATTTTAGTTTTCGCTGGTCATGCTTGAGACCCCTTCTCCAAAACCTGTAATTGAAAAAAATTGGGTAAATAGGGGAGGCATAGAAAAGCATGTTCCCCTTCCTTTAGAGTTGCCCTTTTGGAAAAAATGCTGCTTGACATGTAACTGAATAAGGATTGATTAAGAAGTGCAAAAACAGATGCACAACAAAATGCCCTTTTTTCTGACATCTGGCAGTCGTTACAGCAGCCAAACACAGGTATAGAAAGCTGGTTGTGCTGCTGTAAGCTAAGGAGTGAGGCTTAGAAGACAGGGTGACCTCTGGATTTCTGCATGGTAGATTTGTGCATACAGGTTGCTGGTCTCCCCCACTGTTTTTTTTTTAATGGTTACAATGTCTCTTCTGCACAGTCACAAACATAGTAGCATTTGGTGTTTGAGTGGCTCTGGGCATGAGTTTAGATGGGAGTTGCAATTGTGACCCAGATGCAGTCTTCCAGGCTACCTGAACACAAATTCTTCAGGTATATCTGTTGTTTAAAAAAGGATGTGCATGAGAAATGGGGATTCATGTGGCTATACGTCCAAGACTTGAACTAGCTTTGATATCTTCATGGGAAGAGATTAAAAGAGCTGTGGAACTAGTGTGGAACTGAAAACTAGTGGTAAATTTGTTTTCAGTTCTGAAGCAGCTGTTCATCTGAAATGAAAGGTTTGGATTTCTCAGGTTTTTTGTGTCTGTTTTCACACCTGTTGGAAGGAACATCCTTCTGTTATTCTGAAGGCATGATGTCTTATTCGGAGTGTGAAACTTTCCTGTCACGAATAACAGTTTCCCATCAGGTAAGGGAATTGAGTTTTTCCCTAAGTAGGGGCTAACCAAGGGAACCCACAGATTTCTGAGCCTCAGCAAGAAAGCAAATGAAACTAACCCTGTGGAAATTCTAGTCCATGGCATTTAAAATTTTTTTTTATGCTCATCTGCAGTTTGATATTTGATAAAGCTTATGCTTTATGCTTATGAAATGTTACCCTGCAGAGAGCTATACAGGAGTGGGCAAAGTCGTCTAGCTTCTGGCTGCCCTGGAAGCCTTTATATTTCTTTTTGGCAGAGCCAGTTGTTTGTATCTTGAACTGTCTTAGTGCCTGATAACTTGAATGCCATATTTAAAGGCATTTGGGGGATTTTGTTCTTTCTCTTAAAAAAACCTTTTAAAATACTGTGGCAAAAAATGCCTCAAGTAATTGTTAGTGAAAACAAATTCAGATATCTCGTTTCAGTTGAGATCAGTCTTGAAAGCACTTGTGCTTTTTGTTTGAAGCACCTTAGTACCAATATGTAATTGTTAGTATTACATACTTGTTGTGAGAGGGTGTGTTAGGTATTCAAGGGGTTTTGTACCTGGTTGAAGTTCAGTGACTTGCAGTAGGATTCTGTATTGTGTTGTGTTATCACTGGGTTTTTCTGATATTTAATAAAAGCACTTTTGATTTTACATTATTTTATTTCTAATGTGCAGTGGACACATAATAAACAGTGAATATGTGTATTTGTAATAAATTTCAGTTAGTGAAAAAGCTTCTAGCCCTTATTTTTGCTCTGCAGATGAAACTTAAATGCGTTGTCTACAATTACAATGATGTTGGACATCTTTCTTTTTTTTTTCCTTCAAAATCATCAAGGTCCCTTCCAAGCTTAACCATTCCATGATTTTGAATGAAACACCCAAAAGCTTTTAATGTGAGGTAAAGAAATGTTGATTCTGTTTCTGTTGGTACTTGAAGAAAATGAGACCTGAAACTGAATCTGACCAAGAGGAGTTTCATTCCAATGTTTAAAGGGGTGCTTTGAAGATCAGTGAATTGCAATGTACAAATCCTACAAGGAACTGTATTGACTAACTAATGCATTTTTCCTTTTTTTTTTTTTTTTTTTACCCCACTTGCAAGTAAGTTATTTGTTCTACAGAAAGAACAATATTTTTTGCTTTGTAGTCAAGATACCATTATTCAAACCAAATTTAGTAACATGTCAGGACCTAGGGCAAACTTGACCTAAGGTTTTGTATAAACAGCACCATTCTGATGTTTAGGATCATTCTGATAGTTTTGGTAAGTTCTGGAGAAACAAACTGCATTTGAGAACAAGGCATTAATTTGAATTGTGTGATTCTGAAGTGGAAAGAACATTCTCAAATCAAACTGTAACTACCTGTTCTTTACAGAATTACTAGTGACCACAGGTTTTTGTCTCTAGAAAAATTCAAGTGAAACATAATGATGATAATAATCCCAGAATCACTGCATGATGAGGTTGGAAGGGATCGCTGGAGACTGTCTAGTCCAACCCTCCTATTTAAAATAGGGTTGGCTACAGCTGGTTGCTAAGGAGTCTGTCCAGTCAGACTGAGCATCTGCACAGATGGAGACACCACAGCCATTCAAATGGGCAACCTGCTTGAGTGTCCAGTTGCCCTTAGAGTTAAAAAAAAAAAAAAAATGGGGGGGGGAGGTTTTTCTTCCCTTTAAAAGGAATTTCCTGTATTTCACTTTGTGCCCATTGCTTGTCATCCTGTCACGAGGCAACACTGAGAAGAGTCTAGCTCTGTCTTTGCTCCTCCCCATCAAGTAATCATAAACATTGATAAGAACCCCCCCAATCCTTCTGCCAGCTGCATAGTCCTAACTCTCTGAGTCTCTCCTTGTATGAGACATCTTCCAGTCCCTGCATCGTTTCCATCATCCAGCTTCCCTTCTGATGACACTGAAATTTTTTGCCCATAATACAGGTACTGCCAGTCAGGAACTTAATAGATCAGGCCGGACAAAATGTGGCCATGCGTGGCAGGGTATTTGAGAAGTCCATTGTCTCTCGGTTCACAATTGTAATTCCATAATGACAGCTCTTTTTTTGTTCAGGCCAGTTGGCCTTTTTAATGGATTAATGTTCAAGATTAATCCATTCAAGAAGTTAAAAGATGATAACAGTCACTTACAGGCAGAACTGTCATCTCTGCTTTCCATAACAAATAGTGCTAGCTGAAAACCTCTCTTGAAGACTGCTGAAGAATGCAGTTTCAGTTTGGAGCTTTCAGAATAATTATGAGCACGCAGAGCTCTTAATTGACTTTAAAAGAGAAACAGTCATAGCCATTTGTGTTTATTCACTATAAAAGTTGTAAATGGTTTATGACCCTTCTCCATTTTTATAGAATCATAGAATCACAGGATGGTTTGGGTTGGAAAGGACCTTAAAGCCCATCCAGTTCCCCCCCCCTGCCATGGGCAGGGACACCTCCCACTAGACCAGGTTGCTCAAAGCCTCATCCAGTCTGGCCTTGAACACCTCCAGGGATGGGGCATCCACAGTTTCTCTGGGCAACCTGGGCCACTGCCTCACCACCTGCACAGGAAAACATTTCTTCCTTAGATCTCCATCTTCCCTCTTTCAGCTTAAAACCATTACCCCTCATTCTGTCAGTCCACCCCCGATCAAGAGCTCCCCCATCTTGCCCGTTGCCCCCTTTCAGCACTGGAAGGCCACTAGAAGGTCTCCCCAGAGCCTTCTCTCCTCCGGGCTGAACAACCCCCACTCTCTCTGCCTGTCCTTGTACGGGACGTGCTCCAGCCCTCTGATCATCTTCCTGGCCTCCTCTGGACCTGCTCCAACAGGTCCATGTCCTTCTTATGTTGGGGGCCCCAGAGCTGGATGCAGCACTGCAGGTGGGGTCTCACAAGAGCA